TACCTCCATCCATCTTTTATGGCTTGAGAGAGTATGGGATCTCAGAATTGGACCTTTTTAGCACATAGTGGTGAGGCTATGCCTTAGTTACTTCTCTATTATTGTGAAGAAATACCATAACCACGGCAAAAACATTTTCCCCCATTGGAACTTGATTGCAGTTCCAGGGGTTGAGTCCATGGCAAGAAGCATAACAGCAGGCGTGCAGGCTTGGCACTGGAGCAGTAGCTGAGAGCTCACAGAGATAGAGACAAGGCCAGGCATGGATGGGCTTTTGAAACTTCAAACAAAGCCCATGCTCAGTGACACACCTTACTCCAAAAAGGCCTCACCTCCTAGTCCTTCCCAAAATTGTTCTACCATCTTCATTTTGACAAAAGGTTTGAAGTGCTTCCACCCAGGCTAGCTTGTTAGGATGCTTGGGACCTAGCTTTCAAATATGAGCCTGTGGGGACTACAGGCTGCTAACACTGAGCACTGTAGAGAAAGCTTCATGCCAAGCCTGGAATAGATATCAGATGTCACCCTTCTGAACAGAGTTCCCCTATGAAATTGGAGCATAAACTTATAGCTCACAGAACAGTTCTGAAATGAAAATCCTTATGGACTCTGGAGAGCACCAGCATTGCAGGACTCTAACCAGACACTGCTAGTTCCATGCTTCAAGGTATGAGGTTGTTACCTCATACCTGCCATACCCTTTGTGAGGCAGGGCCTTTTCAAGAGACTGGGTTAAAAGGATAACGGCTGACATTGAGACAAGATGTGTACGAGATGCTGTATTAACACACCTGTGCACCAAGAGGTTCCTGTTCTTTCTATTACAGACAGAGAAGTTCGGCATAGAAAGGTCAAGCAGACGGACCTGCATAGTAAATTTAGGATTCAAACACAAGTGGTCTGGCCAGAACTTGCTTAATTGCTACTGCCTTCACTAAATATTTATTTGTAGATGTTGTTATTGTTTTCCACAAACAGAAATAAGATGGACTTTGTTGTGTGAGATGTTGAATATACCTATCCAAAATGCTTGGTCCCAAAGGATCTCAGGTTTCAGAGTTTGTTTGGAATTTGGAATGTTTGTGTATAGGTTTTATTGTTTGAACATCTCTAATCCAAAAATATGAACTCTAAGTGCTCCAAAATCAGTAACTTTTTTTTAAGACAAGGTCTTCTTAGATTTTCAAGCTAGCTCAGGATAGCTTCATATTTTTAATCCTCCTGTCTCTACTCCTGTCACTAGTCCCAGCCAAAATCAGAAAGGTGTCAGCATTGAAAAATATTTTTTAGTATTTTAGATTCTTGGTATGCATGAAAGAGACACTCAGCTTATGTCTGCTTGCTGATTTGGGTGAGCACTTGTAAACCGTTTGAGACCAGGCTGTGCTGAGCTCTGGACTCACTATGGTGAAGAAGGCAGTGACCCTACTTTGTAGGAAGGCACAGACACAGACACACATGGCTATGGTGTATATCTTTGAGAGGGTGTTAAATGCTAGAGGAGCCCTCAGAAGCAATACCTACCTCAAATGCAGGAAGGACAACTGGGCAGAGTGACTCTTAACAAAGAGGCGTAGAGCCGGGCGGTGGTGGCGCACGCCTTTAATCCCAGCACTTGGGAGGCAGAGGCAGGCGGATTTCTGAGTTTGAGAGTTCGAGGCTAGCCTGGTCTACAGAGTGAGTTCCAGGACAGCC